CTGGGCCGAGCATGTGTAGACAGTAGTTTAACTTACTCCACCAGCATGTAGTTATGTTTCTCTACCAAAGCATTTAATCAGCTGTGGCATTTTGTAAAATATCAATATTTAATTCAATTACTGCAGCCTCCTGTCCTGAAAATAGTTTACTCTCACCTCTTAGTGTTGTGTGACAATTAAATTAAGAATCTAGCCATCAATTAAGAAAAAAATCTTACTTTGGAGTTATTGATAGATCATTGAAAATTGTTTACGAGTCTCCAATATTCATTCATACTACATAGTAAATGTTGACTGAAAGATGCTTCTGCTTCACACTGGAAAATTCAAAAATATGAGAAAGCCATTTCAAATATTCCCCTTGTTTATTATCAGCAATTAGTCAAATACAAATAAACAAACAGTAGGAAAAGGACAGATTTATCTGCGACTTTTTCACAAGGTTATCAATTTCCATTTTAGCACACCCACATTCACACCTCCATTTTTTTCTAGTTGTATGTATCCATAACATCTTGTGTAGTAAAAAATGAAACATTATTATGGTACATGAACAATAAATAATAAAAAAGAAATATTTAGCACTTTATTTACAACTCATATTCCAAGAAATATAAATTAAACATTCCATTAATTTACTAGCAACAAATTCCACAGAATATTAAACTGCCATTCTCTGGCAACGATATGATGCCTCAGTACTAACAAATAATACAACGTTCACTTTGGGTGACTGGACCTTGAGCTTTCATCAGGCAGTGATGTTAGGCAGCACTGTCTGGTTTCAGTTTTCACATCAAAATGTCCCCGTGTAATGATTCCTCCTGAAATGTGCTCTTATCAGTAGAAAAGCTCCTACATGGGATTTGATCATGGAATATAAAGGTCACCCAGGCTGATGTAGTCAGGCTGAAAGCTCTTTAGGAAAGCGAGGCCACAACTGTTCCTCTCTCTGAAGCACATGAATGAAGAGTCTCAGTAAACATGAATGGATGAGTCAAACCTGTAAGACGGAGCTGAATGGGACGGAGCTGAAGGTTTTTTCAGACAGTTTTTCTGTAGCTGTGAACAGGGAGGAACCTCCTCCACAAAAATAAGGGCAGAGAAGTGTTTGTTGTTGCTGCAGGTGACATTCGACAGAATTGAGCAAATACCTAAAGACCAGTGTGGATTTAAAATGAATCAAGAACCAAACGTCTGCAGAAGATGGTGTTCCACTTACTTTTTTGTTAGTAATGATGTATTAGCCTTTAACTAAGCCATTAACTTGGTGTACGGTAGAAGCTGCCTTCAAATGATGAAACAGAACAAAGTGGTGGATGTCAAAACTAACAATTACAGACACATCTGTGAAAGTTCTGTCATCCAGGTCGTTGTATCTACAGGAGTTGTACAAGTGATCACTGCACATGCTTGTTTCATTTCACTTCACTGGAGAAGACTTTTGGCTGAGAGGGGAAACGTTTAAGAAAAACAAGTAAAATCCAGTTGCCTGTGTACACTTGAACAAAACCTGAAGATAACATCTGACCAAAACCCACATTTTGTCCGGCCCCTGGCCAGAAGAGTGAGCTGTTATCACAATTCATCATATTCAGAAAGACATGGGAGACAAGAGATCTCGGAGATGAATCAAATCTTCAATGAAAGGCATTTCCCTCCATCCTTGAGTGTCGTTACCGAGGTTTGACATGATCGGGCATCACGTCATGTGAAGTAATTAGTTTGAAGTAAAGTGAGATCGCAAAGACAATTAAGAAGATTTACGTCACAATCAAAAACAACAGAATTGATTCATCTCATATTACTGATTCTTGTCATTGTGTTTATAATTGTTGTAAATGTAACAGGCCCTCACCTCAGTACTTGGAGCATTTGATGCCACCCATGTGTCTTTTGTTCTTCCCCTGTCACAGCTACAGAGGTTCGTAACGGAAGGAGTTTCTACGTGTCTCATGCACTCTGAATCCACAACAGTGAGGTTTATCCATTAATTACAAAAGTAAAAATCCTGAAGTCACAGTCAGAGATTAAAATGAATTCAGGCAGAGTTTGGGACGTGAACCTGTACATACTAGAAAGGTAAAGTTGAGACCACAAATAAAATTAAAAAAAAGAAATCTATTTACATGGAGTCCCATCGTATCACTTACAAGAGGTAATAGAAGAAAAATATTACAAACATTGGTGAGTTCTGTTTGCAAAAAAGTCTACTTTTTTTACATTTCTAGCACAAGACTGTACACCATCTTGTTTTGAGAGAGGCAGTTTCCTATGGTGAAGCTAGACATAAGAACATATCATGCTGCACTAATATAGTGCAAAATTATGCCTGAAGGACTGAGAAGGGATAGGCAGGCAGAAGTGATGGCGGCTCTGGGATTCATTACACTTTTTTTTCCTCCTCTGGTTTTATCTTTTCTTCTCATGAAATGGATCCAGGCCATAATAACACTGTGGGTTCTGAATGTTCCGAATGGGACAAAGAAGGGACCGAGATTATCCCGCTCAGCTGAGGCAAAATTAACAAGAAGAGGATTTGTGCTTTTAGAGCAAAATCTTTTCGTGTGACCCTCTCCAACAGCCGTGGTTCGGATGTTACTGGCAGTAGTAGATGGCAACAGAAGCAAAGGCAGACTTCCGAAAGAAGACAAAGAATTCATGAAGGCTCTTCTGAAAGTATCAAAATTGAAATAAAAAAAAAAAAGAAGACGACGGCAGGAATATCAAGGCTGCTAATGGACATGGATTCAGTGTCTTGATCTTTGAGGTTTCTCTTTTACGTCAAACTCATGTTCCCGGGATGTCTGCGTGTTGTTTGAACAATGCCCAGCGGCAGCCCTGACATCAAGGGGTTTCCATAGCAACCCCGTGTGCCCTGCAGTAGGACGAACGTCTTTAGCTCAGTGCGGTCAGCAGGAAGACTTCTACATATCAGCGTCTCCGTCGTAGGCGAGAGTCAGCGGCTTCAGTCTGTTGTTCATCTGCCGTCGCTGAGGCTTCTTTGGCTTTTTGCTGCAACACAGAAAGAAAGAGAAAAAGTTCAGTGAAGCAGATCCCGAGTGTTCAACCACAGCTCTGCTCATATGTTTCCAAATACAACGGTATCCTCAGTCTTAATCACTTTGCCCTGTAGTTTATGTCTTTCTGTTTTTTACTTAATGTTTTTCACTAACATTTTAGTGTCAGATTTAACTGTTCTGAACACTTCACTACCCAAAATAACCTCTTAGAGCATTTTTTGATTCATCCAGTGCAGAGAAGATGAGGTGAATTTCAACGTTAAAGAAAACAACTGCACAATTGGCTGTTGGCTCTGACAGAAAACACGAGGTACGTATCAGGTAGATGTAAATATGGGGCAGCGTGGTGTCCTGTGTTCAAACCCAGGTTAAAACCTGCACATTCTGCATGTCTGTGTGCCTCCTCAGCTGAACTCAAGTTTGTCAAGTGATTATAATGTTGTTGGAAAAACGTATCCCTCATGTTTCGAGGGCTGAGTGTGACGACAAAACCTCCTCCAATGAGAAGGTGAAAATAATGAATCAAATCATTTTATTCAGTTCAATGTGTGACTGAAGGCAATGTGATCACACCAGCCTGCAGACATTGAGAAAAAAAAGTGAATACATTTCTAAATACATTTATTTATCTAGCCATAGACTTATAGAGTGAAAATATAATGACAACCAACTTAACACTTCCTGCAGAATTCACAGTGCTCATTTCACTACTGCACCGATGTACCATATGAATTTTCGCTGCTCTGCGATGCAGCATAGAAATAATTCCCCCATTTACAATTAATAATCAGCACTCATTATGTTCACTGTGATGGATTAATTAACTCAGTTGTTAATTCGCTGTGGAGCAATGAGTGGAAATTGCTGCTTCAAAGGCTGATAAAGAATAATTATTGTGGAATGCTTTGGAAAAATGGTCTGCAGTGAAGTCGAAGTAATTTGGAGTAAATGGGATCAAACGTGGTGGAACATATGGTCCAGAGGAATTTCCATGCAACTACTCATCAGTGCAGACACAGTGTTGGGTTGTTTCCCCGTTCAACACAAACTGTGTCACAGGAGAATGAAGGATACAGCATGTACCACATGGTGGATACATTATTTGATCTACTTGAGCTCAGTGATGACATGATGATTATCTTGCACTTACATGACATGACATGACATGTGGATGGATGACCACAAGATGGTAGCAGAGGAGAACAAAACTTACAGCTGTGAATGGGCTGCAGTGATTCAGTACTCGGGATTGGAGGCTCAGGAGGAGGCGACGAGGTTAGCGATAAGGATAAGATTATGTTCAGGTGTTAAGGTGATGGAAACAACACCTTCTCCTGAATCTTACAATTGCAGAGGCTGGCTGATGTTTTTTTTTTTTTTCAATATTTTTTCTAGCACTTAAACCTGGAGGGACACTTGGAATCATGACCTCATGCCTCGTGGCCCTTTAACCACTGATGTACAATAATAATAATAATAATGCTACGGTAAAAATATAGATATATTATCAGATACATGACCGACAAAAGACGGAGAGATATTTTTAAATCTGTTAGTAGAGATTTACTGTGTAGCAGTCCCAATGGGTTTATCTGCATGCTGCTACACAGCCTCATCTATCCAGACACAGATGGGAACACTGATCATTTTTCTTTTTCTTAATTGTTTATGCAAATCAAAAGATTTACTTTCCAAATCCAGTAAGAAAATATACTTCTGTGTGACTGATACAGAAGCTTTGAAAAGAATCATCCTATATTTGGGGATTTATTCGCTTTTTTAGATTCTATCAATTAAAAAAAACTAAACAAATAGAAGAGCAAACATGGAAATTGTGTCGTTCGGACAGCTCACCTCCAAGAAGTGATCCACTGACATGAGTCATGAGGCACTCTAGGTGTTTGGCTACAAGTGGAAGTGAGTAACAGGGAGGTGAGGCGATGCCTTTTCTAAGTGATGAGGGTTTCAAAGGGAGGTGGTGGGGGTGGCAGTGCCTGCTGCTGCTGCAGTTGTTCTTGTGATGGAGGGGGCTCTTGCAGCTTGGCCTCACATTGCTGCTCCTGCTGCGGATGTTGCTGGAGAAGGCCGAGCTGCCGTACCTCGTCTTGCTCTAGTTTCTGGCAGGCGGGACATGTGTAAGGCACCGGGTCCATCCAGTAAACCCCGTCTGAGGGGGACTTGGACCTCGGCTTGCAGCAGAGGCAACAACCACAACGACTGAGCAGGGGGAGTGTGAGAGTGGAGGTGGAGAAAGAAAAACAAGAAATGATGGGGCAAATGATGAACTCAAAGACAAATGAAAAGTTAAATGAATGAATAAATGAAGGGATGAATGAATGAATGAATGAACGAACATGAGCAGTGATGGAATGAAGGTCAAACCCAACATAACTATGACACAAGTGTCGTACTGATTCTGTTCTCCAGACAATTAAGCCTGATAATCTGAGTTAAAAGACGAGACAGCTGAAATTGATAGAAATAATGATAGGGACTCATTTAAAGAACAATGTTTGAAATAAATAAAACAAGCCTGATTTTTCAAAATGGAAATATTCATACTGATATCAGATATTAGACTGATACTCACTCAGATAGCTAGATCAAGTATTAGTGACAATGTTCCACTCTACTCTGTCTAGTTGTTATAAAGCTCAGTGGAAGTTCAACCAGGAAGATTTTCTTTATGACTGATTTATTCACAATTTTCTCTCACCTCTCCCCACTTTTTTTTCCTGTCAAACTTTAAATGTGTTCTCCTCTCTTCTGCAGTCAGCTTTCCCTGTGACCCCTCACCCTAAACACCTCCAGTCCCCATACGCAGAGGCCTGGTAGAGGCCAGCCGAGTCTCAACATCACAGCCTCACCCCCTTTCAGTCATGATGGCATCAGTAGGGTCCAATCAGCAAAGTCTTTCATTACATCATTTAATTCCTCTTCTTGTTGCATGGCTACATGCATTAGGAGTGCAGCAGTAGAGACATATCTGCAAGCTACAGGATGTGAGCTATGTGGACGTGGCTAAAAGCAAAGGGTTTAAGAGAATAGTCTAATTTTCACCTGAATTAAGTCTGGTTCACTTTCATCAACGATTCATTTCATATCTTTTACTTCCCTTTGATTCTCCGCCCCTTCCACAAGACTTAATCAAGGAAGTAACTGTGTCTATTAACCATCAGCGACAAACACGGCTGATCCCCATTTCATCACTGACTGTAGGTGAATGACGGTAGGTAAAGTGATGATGGAGTCAGAGCACAAATAAAAGGCGCTCCAGTGTTGGTACATTACCATGCTAGGTATGTCATGGAGACTATAAAGACGAGCAGGACAAAGGCTCCTGCTGCGACTCCATACACCCAGGTCTTCAGCTTCCCATCTGCAAAGAGAATCAAACACACAAACACTTAATACACTGGATACCATTTTGGGTTCGGGAGGCAGACACGGTCAACACTTTTAAGAGTAGACTTAAGACTTTCCTCTTTGATAGAGCCTATAGTTAGGGCTGGCTCAGGTCAGCCCTTAGTTATGCTGCTATAGGACTAGACTGCCGTGGGACACCCTCTCTCTATTATCATCCCCATCTCTGAACATACACGTCTCATTAATGCATGTTACTAACTAAACTTCTTCCCTGGAGTTTCTGTGCTCTCTCGTCCAACAGGTTCTCATGGATCATGGCTCCTCCCTGTAATGGATCGTGGTTTCCTCTACTGCCACGGCCCTGCCTGACACCCACCCTTGTTATTACTATTAGTCATAATTCCATGACATTAATATTAACTTGTTTATTATTGTAGCATTGTTATATATTACCACCACTGCTACTGTAATCATTGTTTTTCATTGTAATTGTACAATATGTTTCTGTTGCTTTGTTCTGTACATGGGAGAGGGATCCCTCCTCTGTGGCTCTCCCTGAGGTTTCTTCCACCTTCTTTTCCCTGTTAAAAGGATTTTTTTTGTGGGCAAGTTTTTCCTCACTCGAACCGAGGGTCTAAGAACAGTGGGTGTCACTACCTGTACAGATTGTAAAGCCCTCTGAGGCAAAATGTGTTTTGTTAATTTGGTCTATACAAATACAATTTGATTTGATTTGATTTGAATGTGATATTGGTCAGGAAAGAGATGCATTTTGGTGCAGATCAAGATCCGGGGGCAGATCCAGGTTTATTTTTCTTCAACTTCTTGAACAACATGCAACATTTTTGTTCATTTCTTAGAGAATAATGGATATTGACAACAAATCAGGAAATAAAACAGGCATGTACAGGGGACTGATATTAATTATTGAGTTTGTGCAATTTGGTGCAGATCCAAATAAAAAATCCTAATCTAATGAATTTAAATGTGGTTTCTGTGGACTGTTAGGGCTTGGCAGAGTTATGGACCCTCGTAGTGCCCTTCTGGTTTAGCACAGGGTTGACACAACAGTAGAAAGGCCCGTCTTTCTGTATTTGGTGCTGCAGCTCAACAGCACTACAAACCGCAGCCTCTCTAAAGCAGCTTAAACACAAACTGAACATGAGAAACTTCACGGAGGAGGATTTATTGCAGAGCTGAATTAGTTTCAGATAAACTGCCCACTGACTCTTTGGTTTACTGCGTTCATTTCCTTATCTGAGCTAAAGGGGGCAGTAGAGTGTGGAAATAACTCATGTCGGCTCATCATGAATGTAACACACAGAGGAACAACACAAAGCCTTAAACTGCAGCATCCAGCACATGCAGGAGCGATGTTGACTGCTAAATGTGGTGTTGTAGTGCAACACCTTCATCTATAAATATGCTGCGATAAGAACGTGTTAATGAGAAAAGATTCAGTTCGTGTGTGTTCTGTTCATATGTTTCCTCCTTGTGGAAATCCAATTATAAAAGCAGCCTGTTATTCCAATATGCACAGTGAGATGAATATTTGATTGGAGACTGTTTCAGAGCTGTAGTCCTTCTTCATCCCTTCATTCCACTTTGTTATATTCAGCATTAATGATATAATTTAAACATGATCTCCTCCCTGTTCTCATCCTGCATCCGTCTTAACTTTTCCTCTTTTTATTTGATCTGATTTGTATCCCTTTCCTACATTTCTTTATTACCTATCAGTCTTTCTCTTCTTTTCCTTCCTGTTATTCATCAGTTGTTCATACCCCCCCTTCTATTCCTTTCCCATTCATTTTAGCACCCTCATACCCTTTCTCTTTTACCTTCCCCATTCATTACTTTTCTGTTGTCCTGTTCTTTTTCAATATCTATTTTTCTTCCCTTCCTCTTAACACCTTCCTATCCTTTTGTCTCAATTGTTTTTGCAATAATTCTCCCTGTTATTTCTTCTTCCTCCTGCTCTATTCTCAGATACTGCTATTGCTTCTTTCTACTACACCTAACTTTCTTTGTAACTTTGTAATTTAAACTTGTATCACTTCCAGCAGTGGGATATATCAGACTGTATTGAGGTGTACCTGGTCCAAAGGGCTGCAGGAACCAGGTGCGTCCCACCCTGCTGGGCGTGCTGGCTGCAGGCTGGGTGGGGTTAAAGGCCCGGATGGTCTTCACATCAGCCCTGTTGTCACCTGCGGTAGGGATCTCCAGCACCGGGATGACAGTACACTGATCCAGCTGACCATCCGACGCCATCACTTCGGTGTAGCCCTCTTCACAGCCGCACACACCCACCTGACACAGGGAGGAGGCAGGTTTAGTACAGTGACATGGACGTATCTGTTTTTCACCAGGACCTGCAGAGTCTTTCTGCAGGCAATATAATATGAAGTCTATGATATCTCATTAACCAGAAACTGCTCTACCTCCAACCTCACTGAAACCCATCCTCTTTCAACTCTCTCTGTCCTGTTACTTCACGGCAGGTGTGCAAGTCCTCCCCAGCTCCGTGGTCGTCTGACTCAATGAGTGCCAACAGAGCCACTGTGTGTGCATCAGAAATGAAATGGCAGAAATCCAAATGCCCTGACGACCTGCTTACATGTGGATCTCTTTTTTTCTCCTTCTCTGCCTCTATTTCTGCAGCCAAAAGCTCTTTTTATCCCAAAAAAAATTAAATCCTCATTCCCCAACCCCAAAAAACGACCCCCCAGCCCCCCTCCTCCTTCCTCCCTTCTACCAAACCACTTTGTCAAATACTTTATAAAAAAGATAGATGACATCCGCTCTTCATTCTCCAATCCACCTTCTGAAATTACCTTCCCCATCAACCAAATCTTCATCTCCTACTCTATCGTCTTTCACGCCCCCCTGTCTCCCAATCAAGTTCTTACCCTGGTAACCTCCGCCCGCCCAACCATCTGCACCCTTGACCCCATCCCTTTTCACATTCTTCCATCTATTGCTCTCGACCTTCTTCTTTTTCTCACCCATTTTATTAACCTGTCCTTGTCAACTGGCTGTTTCCCTAACTCTCTTACGGAGGCAATAGTAAAACCCCCTCCTGAAGAAACCCACCATCGGCCTGTCTGAAGTAATCAACTACAGACCCGTCTCTCTTCTTCCTTTTCTCTCCAAAGCACTTGAGCATGCTATCTTTAATCAACTCTCTTCCTTTCTTCACTAGAACAACCTTCTTAATTCTCACCAGTCTGGTTTCAATGCGGGCCACTCAACTGAGACTGCCCTCCTTGCTCATTATCCTTGCTTCTCTGAGCAACTTCACACTGCTAGAGCAGCCTCTCTCTCCTCTGTCCTCATCCTTTTAGATCTTTCTGCTGCATTTGACACAGTGAACCACCAGATCCTTATTTCCTCCCTTCAGGATCTGGGCGTCTCAGGCTCTGCTCTCTCCCTGCTCACATCCTACCTCAAAGACTGCACTTACCGGGTAACTTGGGGGGATCTGTGTCAGAACCGTCCCTCAAGGTTCTGTCCCCTCCTCTTTTCTCTGCACACCAACTCTCTCGGCTCTGTTATTCATGCTCATGGCTTTTCCTACCATAGCTACGCAGATGACACCAACCTAATCTTTCTTTTCTCCAGTCTGAAACACAGGTAGCAGCACAAATCTCTGCTTGTCTGACTGACGTCTCTCAGTGGATGTCTGAACACCAATTGAAAATCAACCTTGACAAGACTGAGTTACTTCTCCTTCCAGGGAGAGGCTCTCCCACCCATGACCTTACTATCACCATTGACAACTCCATGGTAGCCCCCACTCAGGCCACAGGGAACCTGGGTGTGACACTCAACAGTCAACCCCTTACCACCAACAATGCTGCAACAACCCAACTGTGTGCTGCACAACAACAAGAGGATATGTCCCCTTCTCGGCACAGGCTCTGGCCAAGGCTTTTGTCATATCATGCCTGGACTACTGCAACTCCCTCCTTGCTGGTCTGCCCACTAGTGCCATCTGACCCCTGCAACCCAGAATGCAGCAGCCAGACTGGTCTACAACCTAGGTTTTCTCATACAGCTCCGCTCCTTCACTGACGGATTGGGCCCAGCCTACATCAGTTCTCACAGGTTTTCATGTACAAATAGTTCAGAGAGGCCGGAAGAGATAAAACTATCCCACAGTGAAAAGTGAAGTTGCAGATTTTTTTTTTCCTTCTTTGGTTCCATATCAATCAGTGAACAGTGGCTGTCAATCTGTGTTTCCCTTTATTGGTTTTGCAAATTAAATAATGTGTTTCATATTTTGTGACAAAATACATTGGTGGCTTATATTGACACTTAAATGAATCATCCTGTAGTCTGGGAATTGTTTGTACTCTTTGTTATATTGAATACACCTACAAAATATAAAAAGCACAAGAAAGAGCCAACATGGAAAATATGGTGTGTAGTTTGTGTTTGCAGCGCAGCCCTGCAGTCAGGTTGTGTGTTTGATATGTAAATGTACACACCAGACTTGATTCTCTTTTGATTCCAGATTTGTTTCATTACTTTTTGTTTTTCTTCCTTTATCCTCTTTCTTTTATCCTCTTTCTTTCATCTTACTACCCTCTTTCAATATTTCTATTCGTCTTTCCTCTTCATTCTTCCCTCCTTTCTTTCTTCCCTTTTTTAATATATTTTTTTTCCACTTACTTCTTGTTTGCTCAATAGCTTATTCACCCATTTTCATTTTTCTCATTTTCCTTTCTTTCAGTTATTTCTTCATTTTTCCACACCTTCTTTCCTAGGTTCTTTATTCTTGCGGTTCTCCCCTTGATTCTTTTCCTTCCTCTCCTCTCTTCCCTTTATCTCGTCTGCCTTCTTTTATCCTGTTTTCTCTATTCTCAATCATTTTGCAACCCATGCGATTTTTCTCTCCACCCCTCGGGGGTGGTACCAACCCCCAGGCTGGAAACTGAACATGAATAATCAAATAAAGAAAAATGCCGACACAGGCTGAATAAACACAAGTGGGGGGAGGGAGTGGGTTGATGAAGAGGAGGGGAGAAAAGATTTAGAATGAAGGCTCAAACGACTTGTTGACATTCTCCTAAAGCTGATCTAACCCTCAGTCAGTTAATATCTATCAACCTGTCACTTTCCTTCTTCAGTGTCATCCTGCTTTGATTGTGTTGTCAGAGTGTCAATATAAAGCAGCAGAGCGGGTGTGTTGTTGTTGCTTTGTTCTGGTTGTTGACAGATTTCCCCCTTGGAGTGTTAACTTGATCACTTCAGGAAGAAGCTTTGTTTTTTTATGGAAACATCCACAATAAGAAACTCCCCTCAGTTAAATGCACAGTGTGTAGAGTTTAGCGATATCTAGTGTTGAAATCGTATGTTGCAATTCACCTCACCCGCTCCTTCCAAACATTAAAAAGAACCTGTGGTAGCCTTTAATTGTCATAAAAACTCAAAAAGGTGTTTAGTTTGTCTCCGTAGAGAGGACCCCCTCAATGTAAATATAAAGTATTTAAATATAAAGGGCCTTTTCTGGGGTAAAGAACACTACAATTCATACAATTTAGATGAAATGAACTAGTGAAAACATCATGAGGATTATTCTACATTAAATATCAGCCAATAGATCCCTTTCACCTAAATCTTACACACTTTAACTCACTTCACTTTCATCTGCTGTTCACACCAAGGATCACTAATATCACACCTATTACTTATTACTATGGTATTAACAACCATCTCTTGTGACCCGATTACATGTGGACGGCTCTATGTACATCAGTTCATGTTCCTCCTGTCAGATGATCAGATTTCACTTACCTGCTCTCACACATAAGAGAGACAGAGAGAGATAAGAGATGAGAGAGCAGGGACAGGAGGGGCTGAGTGAGTGAGTGAATGTGCTGCACTCAGCTCTTACACATTTTAAATGGCAAATTAAAAATATGGGGCAACCCTATCGCCTATTGGTGAGGGTGCATACAATGTGTCCCAGGAAGAAATTATATTCACACTGCTAGATGATTTGACGACATATGTCCGAGACCATCGTCACATGTGGCCTGAATGATCAGATTTAAAATCCATTCCCAGTGCTTTGTGGGTGTGTTCACACCAGAGCTTAAAGCTGTCTCAGCAGAGCCACACGCTCTGTAATATACAATAAACTGGAATCTCTTTAGAATACAGTTTGAAAACTGTTAGTGTGAGAATAAGAGGAGCAAATGTGAAATACTGTTTGTTTAATTATGTTAATTTTACTGAATATATAAAAGACTTAATAAAGACAAAATACATCTTAGAATTCTTGGAACTAGAACAATCCATCCTGACGGTATAAATTCCTGAGTCCAAAATGTGCTGTGTCCATGTAATAAGATCTTGGATCTTAAAAATGTGTTTGGTACAGACAACGCTTTGCAACAGTCTGCTGGGGGAACTGTGCTTTCCAAAGGTAGTGTAAAGAATTTGATATTTTAACCCACTAAGACTGGTTGGTATTTGGAAACATACATTACAGTGTCGAGGCTGTTTTTGTTAATGTTGGAGTTACATCAAACAGCAGCTTTGATAAGGCTTTGATGTAGCTGTGCAGTTGATCCCAAAATCAGCTATAGCAATGGTGCTATGGTGTGATGATGCTGTCAGTTCTGTCAGACAGGGTGTGTGTTTGATAGTGTGTGTGTGTGTGTGTGTGTTTGTGTGTGGGTCCACAAAACCACCCCTCCTCCATATCTTGCTCTCTCTCATCCCTCATTCCATTCATCACCCTGCAGGGGATCCCCAGCTCCCCAACTATCTGTGGAGGTTGACTTCAGAAGCCTCCGCCATGCAAACAGGAACAGCAGGAGTTCAACAGCAGACAGAACAGGGAATAAGGCATCATTTGCATCTGCTTAGTGGCAAACAAAGAAAAGGAAGTGTGTCTCACATCCTTTTATGAGACACACACATACATGGAAATATGTATGTGTGTGCCTGTGTGCCCGTGGTTGTGTGTGTGGAGGGGGGGGGCGAGTAAGGTTGTGGCTTCCTCATCAGTTCATGTCAGTTCATCCCCCAAGTCAGGGTGCACACGCACGTAGGGAGCGCACACAGGGTAAAGTGCACACTAAGAGTATTGTGACATACATCATTTCAAATGTCAAAGTACACACGCACGTTCCCTCACGCTATGGGTGCTGCACTACACACACAGTGTAACCTGGCCGCTACGCCTCTCGTCTACAGACGTCGCTAGCTTCCTTGCTTCTCTATATCATAAAACCACATCCTATCTACTGTTCTGTGGTGATTGGTGCCATGTGGTATATACTGTATTTGCACTGTTAAAACATCATTCTTACTAGTTCTGACAAGCATTTGTAAATCTTGTGAGTTTTGGTATGAAAACCACATGCTACGGCTTGTATGTCATATAAAACAATTCAGAACCATGGACAGCGTCAGCAGGAGGCGCGAGACATGTGTGGTCTCTGCCTTACACCAAATATATAACATTTATTACAAACCACTTAACAAAAGCCTGTTTTAAATGACTAATCTGTCATACCGAGGAATAACTGGCAGCACAGTCTGTTGCTCCTCTATAGCAGCAAGGTCTTTTCTTATTGCTGACACAGGCAGGAAGTGGCAGCGGGCAGAAATACCAGGTATCAGTCAGTCAGTTATCTGATGTGAAGACATGACAACGCTGCACAGCTCAGTCAGCTCGGCTTGTATTAAACTATACACATTTTTTAATTTGTTTTTTAATACTATGTTATTGATGACTTGTCATTTATATTTTACATTATATTAACAGTATATTAGAGTTCAAAGATAGAATGGACATTCTCAAGTTTGACTAGAACCATTTGTAAGAGCACTGACTCTATACTCCATATACTCAGTCCATATAAACTCCCTGGCCTTTCTTCTGTTACCCTCAGGTTTACTTGAACATAACATACTTAGTGCCCAAGCGATGCTATCAGTGACAGTAACGGGTCACTGTAAAGATTTAGCAGTGCTGTATATTTAGCAGACTCCAAATGAAACCAAGAATGGTTAAAGTTGGAGCAGCAGAGGCCAAGACTGATAATCAAAGCCACATCATTTATAATTGTGGTGGTCCCTGCCCTGTACGCCTTTGTGTGTGTATGTGTGTGTGTGTATTTGTGTCTGTGTGTGTGTGTATGTGAGTGTGTGCCTGTGTGTTTACATGCTGTGAGGGGCAGTCAGATCCATATCATTAGCAACTCTGCCCCAAAGCAATAATGTTTTTGTATAACTCAATTGCAAATCTAAATATATCTGGGATCACATAGTTTTTTATCAGCATAATTGACATCTCGCAATCTGCTGTATATCAATCAGCACAATATCAACTTGTAGTGACTGTAGTGTAATCTAAGCATTTCAAAGTTGTGTCATAGACACTAACAGTTTTCGGTCAATCACAGTAACTTTATTTACATGTATTTAACATTTTATAATGACAACAATAATAACAAACATGACCATTTTCTGACCTTAACCAAAGTGCTTTGGTTGCATACACCATGCTCAGGACTGTTATTGTGAATCACTGTCTCTGGTATGACAGTGACAGCATGATGCCGACCCCACCACGATAAATCACCTAAATTGACCCGCTGCAACTGATGCTGTCGCCAATCCGTCATAATCACCTCAGGGGTCATGTCGGGATATAGAAAATCTGCAGGCTGCTGTTGTTATTTCTGGATTTTATTCTGAATCTATCCTTTTAATTATTTGCTGTTAAAAAATTGTGTAAATAGACTACTTTAACTGTTAAGTTTCTGATTTGTGGAAAATATCTTGTGACCCATAGTGGGCCGTTTCGTTTACAACACTTAGATTTTCAATTTTCTGTGAACTATCCATTAAATCCTGCATGTATAAAACAGCAGCTGAGATAATGGCCTCACTCTATTCAGCAGCAGATGCCTGAGAGTAAAAAATAAAAACCAGAGCACTGGCAGGTCCCAGTTCAGTCTGACATTTCAGCCTAACAGCTATCTGAGGAGAACACCATTGATTATCCTCCTCCTCTCGTCAAGTACCACTTTCAATTCTCCCCGTGAATTCACTGCAAATTACACTCAGTGTGTCATGCACTTACACTATGCAACTTTTTTACCTTAAAATAGAAGCTTCAAAACTAGTGTGATGATTCACTGACTCGTAATATGGAGAGTGGTGCTACTTTCATTTCCACTTCTCACTCAGAAAGTCTGGTCTTGCTCAGTGTAACTTTGGTGAGTGGGTACTATCTCCTGTGAGAAGTGTGTAACTGATTCAGCTCAGCCAGAATCAGGTCCAGCAAGAGTAATGCCAAACTGTAGATAAGGTAAAACATCTTAGAAGTCATCTAAGAAGTCATTAAACAGAGTTTATCTCCAGTATTCAGTGAGCAGTTGTTTAAATATTAAGAATTCGAAACAGAGTTTGGTATATTTGTTACAGTGCCAGCTCTTCTGGTTCAGGAAGGATCATACATGGGTAATATCTACCTTTCGGTTGTTTCAGAGCTCTGCTAGAGACATTGATAGATTGTGTTTTTCCTCTACATAAAAATCCCTGTATTGCTCTGACATGGAGCCCAACAGAATTAATTGTCATGTGTGGCCACAGAGGGTGCTGTTGCTCAGTAAAAAGTGTGGCTTCAAGCCCATATAGATTTGTTTTAAAAACAAATCTTTCATTTTATGAGTGTGAAGCATTGTGATTGTTTTACTGCTAAAGGTTGCAAGAAGTAGCCTCCTTGAGTAAAATATTACTCCCCCCACTGACAGCTACAGAGTGCATCTGGCCTGTTTATTGATATTTTATTAATACTGAACATATTACGCATCAAAATTGCGCTGACTCCAGCTGTGCATTTTGTTGGGCTAGGACACACATTCCAAGTTTGAAACAGAGAAGATTAACTGTTTGTGAGATATGAATCCCACATACGTCCCATATACAAACAGACATCTGTCGGAATATCTTTCTGACCTTCGTAGAATAAACAAAAGAGATCTGTCAATATCTCACAAGCATGACACCAATTCCTGGTGAAACAGCTTATTAGAACTATAACTTAACTGACCACAGATGTGTGATTACCTGGTAGTCACTCACCTCTGTGCAGAGGGAACGTGGCTTGGTGCAGGGCGGGTCACAGGAACGGTCGGCCATGGGTTTGGCAGTTGCCGGGCATCCACCTGCAGGGCAAAGGCCAACAAGGTCAAACTCCACTGTCAAAGGTCAATGAATATAGTTTCAGTCATAAGTTTTTGGGAGGATGCTAGGTAACAATATCACAGTCGCCAATATTACAGGACAAATGTGTCCCAGATTCCAAACAGTGTACCTCTGCAGATTGTTGAGCCGGAGGTGGTGAAGCTGCAGCTCTCTTCGCTGTTGTCTCTTTGAAGATGACTTTCACTAAGTTTCAGCTAATTAGTACAATGAATCTCACCATGCAGTGCGACGCCGGAAAATATTCATAATTATGAGATTTTTGGAAAAGCACTAAAAGTGCCACTTAAATCTCCAGACTAATTGGGGCTCTGTATGTAATTCTTGCTGTGGCTGACATAATGCCTGAAGCCTGTGAGTGTACATTCATGTGAGATGGCATATTATTTCCTTTGCCCGTTATGTTGCATTTTAATACATTCAAAGTTGTGTTGATGCAAGACATCATACAACACATGAAGAGTATATATTAGATTATTGTCCATACCCTCAATCGAAATCGAATCAATACATCAGAAGGAGTTAGGAATTAGCTTGAATAGCATATTGTCCTACAGCAAATTCACTGTGCGTTAGTCAAGATAGCTACTGCACTCAACACTATATGGGATATCGAATGGTCATCACCTACATTGGGAAGACCAGAGCATGTCTGTGTTTTGATTGATAAATATGGTATCTAAATTGCTGAGAAAATCAAACATACTTCCTTGAATTCCTCAACTGTGAAACCAGATCAAAGGAAACGTTCCCCATGCAAACTGGGGAATACTTGTTACTCGAATTTGGAGAATTCTTTTATCCCATTATTGCTATGCAATATAGTGCTTGGGGCCCAAGGGAAACTTTAATTTCAACCACTCTGGAGTAAATCAGTGGAATGGCAAGAGGGGAGATACAATTCATTTACAGGGAATCTACATTTTTTTATTAATCTCATTCCACTCCTGACTATGTATTCAGAATTTTGGCAGAACCAGGGCAGGAGTTGTCATTTAGTCACTTTTTAATAGGGTTCATCCAAGGTTTTACTGAGTTAAAAACGATACAGGGTAAGGAGCGTGTATTCCCACTGAGAATAAAATAAGCTGGATAACGTAGATAGACCGTACAACTGACATTGATTCAACCAGCAGACACTCCGAGAAAACACATGTCTGTGAGACCACAGTAATCTATCAGGGCCTCTTGAATATTTATCAGGCAGCATGCTCAGGGAGCGAGCTCAGTTGGAATATTCATGAGGGGAAAACCACTGCTTGTGAGGAAACATTCACAAGAACGGGGGGAAATGTGGTCTGCCGATCAGAGCAGCCACAGATAGGCAAACCATATGGAGTACACTGACATTTCTCGTTTACTCAGACTCAGAGCTGAGTGTTATAAACTCCCCTAATCCAGAAATGTGACAGGGCTCCAGGCTCAATCAAAGCAGGAGTTGTAAAAAGAAGTAGGTTCCCTGACCAGAGAAACCCTTTCCTCCAGACAGCCCATCTTCTTACAAGAGCTGATAAATTCTTTGTGGAGCTCTGGAACAATGGTTTAGTTGCAGAGGTTAACTCTGACATGTGATGGACGATGAGATTAAACTGTTGCTGTAAATGTAACACTGCTGCAGATTAAAACCTCATCTGCTTACAGCTTCCTAGAAGTCGCTGTCAAGAAATGCTCCAAGTGCTATCTGGGATTCTGACATGCTGGATGAGACAGTTTTAAGTAAGCTTATCCACAGTATCACCTTGCCACGCAGACCCCGTGTGTCAGAGCAGCAGTGAGAGCTTTGGAGCTCATTTAGGTCACATTTACATCTATCATATCTGACTCGAGGCTCCAGACCAGTAGTGATAAGTGCTGAGCTGCTCTGTCTCTGTGATAACTGAGCAAACTCCATTTGCTAATCTGCTATGCCTGTTCTATATTGCCTTATTTCTTTTATCTTGAATTGCACTTATTGAGGAAAGAAATCTGTAAATTTCAAAACTTTAAAGTTGTTTGGAAAATATATATAAGCACAGCATGTGATGAATATTAAGATATTTTGAATAGATACAATGCTAAAATGAAAGAGGCACAATTTTGGTCAGACAGAAACTCGGTGGGCAAAAGCCTTTACTATAGTACCACTTCAATTGTTACGTTTCACATGTGGCTCTAACTGAAGCGACACTCAACAGCTATTCATAACGGGAATAGTTCAAGTACAAGAGTACTTTTCGACAGTTTGCACAGTTTTTTGTGCCACTGTGAAAATAATCTTTCGGGAGTAGTTGAAAGCTCAAACATTAGTAGATGTGTCCACCAGGTCATTGTGTGTCATTGTCTTACAGCATGACTTCACCTTGGGAAGAACATTGTAGTTGATACATTATTTAGAGCCTTTTCTAAACGATCTCAGAGAATGAAACCTTTTTTAAAAGCCTACATGCCATTGTCCAAGAATATGGCCTTCTGAAATTATGGTGCGATAGGTTTTAAGACAGCTAGTGATCTTATCATATCGTAATAGACATAATTGGAAGGAAAAACATAGGCATGATTCATAATGCTTACCTGTAACATTAAGTCCATCTGAGCGCTGACACCAGACTTGGCGAGATGAGCCTCTCCATGGTGCAGTCTTCCACTTGTATTCAAAGCACTGGCCGTCTAAAGGAAGAACATGCAGTGTGGGTAACAATGCAAAGAAACAGCTGCCAGTGTATTTAATGTAGAATAAAACTGAATCCAAACGTCAGTGTACAACAGTCAGCTCTCTGCCTTCTCTGACGGACCTGTACATGGCCGTGCCTCCATCTCCTGCTCTGGACACTGCAGCAGGTTCTCTGGATCCTGGGCCACCACGGCTCTGGACCGGACCTGGACTGACCCGAAGCCCAGGTCGTCCCCACTCACGCAGCTTAGCTGGCATGGACTCCAAACGGTCCAGTCCTTCAGGTAGCACTCTCCTATAAACACACACACACACAATTTTGGTCAAAGACTACAGACCTGGTGGGCAAAGGCCTTTACAATGGAAACACTTGAATTGTTACGTATCAAATGCGGCTCCAGTTGAAGCAACAGTTCAGCAAATGTCAACGTGCTGCTCAAATCAAAAGAAGCAAAGTTAATCATCATGTCTGTGCATTGATTAATACATTGATATTTAAGAGCCTTACTACTACTGGCTCAAAATGTATCTTTGGTATTTCTGTACTATACTTTCATTTCTTGAAAATCATTAATTGATTATTACTGTAAACTATATACATAACTTCACATTAAAAACCCTCCAAATTTGAGACTTTTACTGCAAACCCTTGATGCCTGAAGTGATGGTGGGTTTTCATGGGCCAGAGCTGACCAAAAGAACCAAGGAAGAAGTGAATAAAAACAGTATTTCAGTAAATCGGAGAAAGTGAAAGCAGCAAAGTGGTATGACTCTGTTGTACTGATGGAATTATTGAGGTGGACATGTTTCTTTTATACAAACATACACTTTATCAACAAAGCACGTCATGTGTTGCATTAACAGCAACCTCGAACAGGAGCAGACAAAATGTGGGAAAATGGAAAAAAGTAGATTCTCACAGCAGCTGAGGGAATTCATCCAAATATGACAAATTTGAATTAAGAGGCTTTTCAGCCAATCAGGGTCTAGAAGTGTGTTGACAGGTACATTGATTGGCAGCATCATTACAAACTGAACATTTGAAAATGGCAGAAACTGAAAATTGAATAACACAGGATCTCTCCTGATATTTGCAAACTATCATGGAAGGATATGAAATATTTCCTTCAGTACATCCGTTCAAATGTCAGCGTAGCTCAGTAGCAGAAGAAGGTTGTGTGTCTTGACAGAGGTCAGTGCCACACAGCGAAATGAAATGAAAATCAAAATTAAACCTCCTCTCAAATATGTTCCCTCCACGGCACAATCCGTTTTTTCATTACTGCTCAGAAGCACGATACTCTCAGCAAAGAGAGGAGTCTCAGTTGAATCGGTTACACTGCTCTCTTTGTACTGGCATTGGCTGACATGAGCACATCTCCACACGTTTTAATTAATCATGACCCATCAGAAAAAAAGATCAACTAATTAAGAAGAGACATCATATTCTCCGTCTCACTTCTAAGTTTCCAGCAGTGTAACTGGTTGTTTTCAGTTAGTAAGTTAGAGACGACAGGAAACGCTCCAGATCTGACAGAGTCCTTTTTGACCTTGTTCCCCCCTCGTCCCCACTAAACCAATTAGCTTCATTCTGGACTGATTACGCCTACACATAATCCAAGCTGGAGTGGTCCGTGTAGAGCAGATATACACATGTACGTACACACTTGAACACACACTGCAGCTGCTGCAACTTAGCGTCAGCTGAGAGGCCTTCACTGAGGTACAATAAAAACCCTGCTGCCACAACACATCCATTATCAGCTTTGTAAAATGCTTCCCACATTGTCCTTGGCCTCCCGCCTGTTAACATCAGCTCTGCATTGTGTGGCGCACTCTGGAGCTCTTGAAGCTCTTACAATCAAAATCATTTAACAATAAGTGCTTCAGGGGTCTTTCTTGTCATTGTGAAAAGGTGCGCTGAGAACAATTGCTAGCACTTAAGAGTCATCACGCTGAGAAAAGCCATATTTTTTGTTGTAGCCAGTTGATAGTGTCAAGTGGTTAAGCTGGGCACACACAAATCCACCATGAATTGGTTGCCCCAACAAAGTGTATTTCTTTGGCATTTTGTCGCTGTGACGGCAGAGCAATAAATGGTCGGGCTGACTGGGAGTCAAATCGAGAGCATATTTATTATTATTTATTTCAGTATGTTCCCAAACCACCCTGTTTTTTTTTTTTTTTGTCAGAAACATTCATACTAATATTTAACATTGCTGCAGATGTGATCATTTAATTTCGATGAACTTTACTGGAACAATCAATGGACACAAAGGGTGGGTCCAGTGCTTGGATTCAATGTGAGCAGACAGGCGACTTTGATTTGTTCTGGTTCTCCAAAAGTGCCGACCATTACCTGAAAAAATTCTCAGATAACTTTGGAAGTCGTTTCATTCACCAACATTTCTGGTCCCATAATCTTCGCGGGTCGCTTTGTTCCCCTGTGCGTCACACGACACATAGTACAACCAAGCTAAAGTCCCCCAGTCTCCGATTTTTCTTTTATATACTCGGTGATTTTTTGAAGCAATCAAATTTGCCTGGGTTAAGACATTGCTCTGTGGTGTGACAAACTCAGAAAATCAATTTTTAATTGCTTTACATGGTCACAAATATTTTTCTAACTTAGTCATCAGTTAATAATGTTCTACAATCAGTATATCAGATAATTTTCCTCAGCTCTACCTCGCCGTGTACCTGTAAAATGATTGTGTCACAGTATGTGAAAGGCTCACCTGGACAGGGTACAGTGCAGGGTTCCTGTAGAACAATGTGTGTATCTCCATCCACCGAGGGCGCCAGATCTCCGCACAGCTCGTCGTCCACCAGGCTGATGTCCTGCTCACCGGAACCGTCCGACACAAAGCATGACACGTTCCTAAAGCGCAGGCCTTCCCCACACCTCGCCCCCTGATGAGAGGGGATGCACAGACGTGTATGGGTCAAACACACACTTTTAGAGCAGCTCTGAGAGTGAGTCGTTGGGGATACACTCCCAAGTAACAAGTGTGGTGAAAATCTGTTCATGCTGTGTTAAGATATTTTGAACACAGACAGATGTAATCCCACCGACCTCAGACTTGCACTCAGACCAGGTGCTGTATCTCCAGCTGTAGCAGGGCTTCACTAGGCAAGGCTTCCATTGCGCCATCTGGGATGGACACTGTCTCCCGTCACCCTGAGGAGCCTGGATCACTGTCCGTCTTCTCCACAGCTTGCCTGCAGAGTACCAGAAACAAAGGCAAAAGTTTTTATTTTCAGAGTTAAATCAAGTTGTGGAATTTGACGTCTCCATACAACCAAGATTTGTAAAGATGAGGAAGACAGTGTGCTGAACAGTGTATGTTTTTCAGTGTTGTGGAACTGATGACTTACTTCTTGTACTGTGTTTGGTTGCTTTTCCCTAAGATCTCAGTTTCCTGTTTTATTTTGAAATGTAGCTCCTTTGTGTCTGTAGCTTTATTTCCTGTCTTTGTCGTATTTCCTGCCCTTGTAATAGTCTGCACCTGTTCCTCATGTGTTTCACCTGTGTTCAATCATCCCTGCCTCTCTGGGTGAATGTCTCTGTCCTTCCCTTTGTCAGTTCATCGTCTTTCACTGTCATGTTTCCAGTGTCTCTAGTGTTTTTTCTGTTTATTCTCTTTGGAATCTTTTCTGGTTTCCAGAGTTTTTTCTCTTTGTGGAATTGTCTTGTTTGCTTTTGTATCTTGTTCTTTAGTAGTTTTATTATTGCCTTATTAAGAACACCTTTAGTTATTTTACTGGCTCCTGCACATTTGGGTCCAGATTTTCCCCAATTCCTAGACACACATAGTCAATTTACTGTATGTTTTGGTTTTGTTAGTACACCATATTGATTCTATCCTTGTTTGTCCTGCTGTCAGTGGAGAATGGTATTTGATCCCTGCTAAACATAAAAATCAACTAATATATTTAATTTTTAGTTTTTAAATATAAGACAAAAAGGGAGAATTAAAGTCATTTTCCTTCTTCTATTAAGGCTGTGAGTCAAATGTTGGTCCACATGAAGCTATGGATAACATAGATATTCTCTGGTGAGGCACATAATAAATAGAAATTATTAATCATTAATTTCATCTGTGCATTGATTCACCTGTCATGTGATACATGTGTAAAGATGAAAAAGTCCACGACTAGTGCTGACATGCAACACCAACATTTAAACTACTTAGTATAGAATGGGGGGAGGTGGAAGGGGATAACTAACTAAATCATAGACAACCTAAATGTCTTAAACATGTTAATGTCATTCATTCTGACTTGCAATGTGATACTTCTTGACTTCGTATCATCTCTATGCAGCATCTGGGCTCTTTTCTCCAGTTACTTCATGAAGATCATGTACCAGAGAATAAAGTCTGGATCCTCTGAATAGTTTCCTATAGCCCTTTACTGAATTCACTCTGCATTTTTACAAAGAGCCTCAGGGGAGACGTGAGAAAACTGTAAATCATTGCAAAAGGAATGCAAGGTCCACTGCAAGTGACTAAGCTAGTAGACGTAGCCACACGATGGTGTGCCTGAGGGTCCCTGCATGCACCTCCTATGAAGATATCAGTGGACTTTTAGGTTTAAAACGTGGTGTAAATGACCTTGTTTCTAGTCCAATATGAAAGTTGGGGTTTGAAGACACTTTGATGACACCACACATGCAGTGGAGGCATGCTATGCTTTTTACTGTTGTTTCACCGTGTCTGAAGAAGAGGATGGATTGACTTCAATTATATTAGATTTGGCTGCAACGCTGTTTACCCCTGACATTCCAGAAGTGTTTTGTGTAGATAATGAGTGCAATTTAATGTTTCGGTGAACTATCCCTTTAACGCTGAACACTATCAGCTTGTGTGATGTCCCCTCTTAAAAAAAATCCTCTGTGACCATGAAACACAGAGAAGGCATCATCCAAGAATTAGTCACAATACATACAACTTGAACTTGTAGCTTCCATTCATTCTTTAGTATTCAGAACAAACTTCATGAGTCATAATGACATGTCATACATCTGCCCTCTACTTTCAAAACTGAAAGCAAGAAACTAACAAGGTTCTTAGTTCCTATTTTAAAAAACATACCAAAAGAAATGTTAAAATGAAATCAGGGTGCCATCAAGGTAAGCAAGTCAAGCAGTGCTTTAAGTGTTCAATCCAAATATAGACATCAATTAAAGCATATGTCAGTGAAAATAACTCATCTTACATCTCCAAGAACCGTGCTCTGTGTCATAAATGATCTAATGTTGGCATGTTTGCATTTGTTCTTAATTCACATCCTCCCTGGCTTTGACACGTTATTGTCCCTGGGAGCAAGCTTGACTTCCATCCCTCGGTATTGAGAGGCACTAGCGGGTAAATGATCAGAATACACTAATGTATCATCTCTGTGTAAGATCTGCAGGAAGTTTGGGACGTTTGAGAGAGAATAGTGTTACACAGGCTGTGCAGATAGATCAGTTGTGTGCCTAACAAACAAGTAGCAATGAGAGAGAGTTAGCGGGCATGCGATGCGACACTTAGAGCTGGAGCAGAGAATTAGAAATGAGCAGTTCAGGCTGTTTGTCAGTTGATAAAGGCTTCATCTCATCAAGATCCAGTACGTTTGCTGCTCTCATGTTCCCTGGCTGCAAGACTGCTCTCACATTCTCACATACTGCTTTCAAATTCACTACTGCAACCTTTCAACACACAGGATCCCCTGTCAGTCCCACTGCACTCAGATGCACTGGTTGACCTCACAAATATAAGATAACACCACATCAGTGCTTCATATGTATTGCATTTACAAAACCTGTGGTTGAATCAGTTTCTGTTCTATTCTTGTGGGTCCCTGTTTAACATCATGTGTAATACCTGAGTGGATCAGTGACTAGCTGGATGTGAGCTGAAAGCTAATCATGCTGGAACCTGCTGGAACTAGTGCTGTAGGTATGATAATTTAAAGCCTGCAACATTGGTACATTAAAAGATCTTAAGATTGGGAAAAAAGTTCAAAAGAAAAAATCCAAAACAAGGTGTGTGACAACAGACAGGCACAGAGTGGCTCACGTCAAGGATGGATATCTTTTTCACTAAGATGAAAAGAGAAAATGAAAATAAAGGTCAAACCTTGCGACAGAGATATTTTTATCAACTCCTGTGACATTGTGGTTGGATTATATCTATAACAGCCAGGCACAGATGAAAAGGCTTGTTTTGACAGCCTGTAAACTGATGCCAGCTTGATATAAACAGTGAAGTCAGTGCCAATTGGGTCTGTGTATTTCCAGCAGACCGACAGGTCCATTTCAGGCTCTGAACCAGCAGCTCTGCATGGGTCTGGATTTAAGTTTGCAAATACTAGACAAGTCTAGTTTGGTACCGGGAATGACTTTTCCGGGTATTTGGGGGTTTGGGCAGGGATTTTTGAACGTGTGAAGATCTTTTTTTGCTCTTGGATTGTCTTTGTCTGGAAATGAGAAGTGTGACTAATCCATACCATAAATGTGCTCTAAAAGAAAACCACCAGGAGGGGAAGATTATTTCACATTACACATGACCTTGATTGAGAACCTAAGAAAATAACAAGGTAGAAGCCTCTACTCTACAGAATCTGAGCCCCAGTTTTCTAAATATATTTCACCATCTCTGACATCACACAGGCTTTTACCATTGGTTGCTTTGCAGAAGGAGGTGGCACCCTATATCCACAGAAACTTGTCATCGCCCTCCATTTTTTATGTTTCACTGTTCTGCTTGCTGGCAGCTATGGCAGAATTTGGTGTTGAGCTGTGGGTGGTGGGGATGGCTGCTGGGTAAAGGAAAGCCCATGCCAGCTGTTTCTGTCGAGGTTTGGCTGGAGAACACACAATGCCATGATTATCTATGCACACAGGTTGACATGTGTAGGAAAATAGCTGAGTTTTTACACTGCCTGATTGATAACAGCACCTCACTGCTTCCAGGTATGTGCACTTGCTTGAGATAACTAATCCAGCTCATTGCTATTCCTGGCTCTGGAACAGAAATTAGCTCCTCCAGGGAAATATGTCCTCAGAGTAAGCCTGGAGATAAAAGACAAACACAGGAAGGAAAGCGAGAAGGGCCTCTCATTTCATGGCCTACCTGCTGTTTCTCCATGAAGGGAGAAAATCCTTCTCGCCTTGGGACAGATTAAAGTTACCACAATAGCTAAAGTCTGTATTGGTTTCAGGTCGACTATTTGCTCTTGTTGCCTCTGGTTGCTGCTCTTTTCAAGGACTCGTGGAGAGCAGAGTGCTCCCTGAGCCCCAGAGCACACACTCGTAATGGACCACCAATCAATGAGCTGATCCTATGGAATTACATGCGAGGACATTATTATCCCTGTCTCATGTGCTTTAGACTGTAACACCATCGTTCCTCGCATCATAAAGCGTTTCTGGTTTCCACCATTACCATAAGAGAGGGCAGCTTTCTTTAACACACAGCTGAGCACTGCTGACCTAGAGCAGTAAGAGATCATTCTCAGCTATCAAAGCATTACGCTGCCAACGCTGTGCGAAGAGGCTGCAAGGTTGGAACTTCACTGATATGTAATAAAACAATGACTTCGACTTCACATTAAACCACAAAATATGTCCTCATCAGGGTTTCACAATTAATCGTATCCATTTGAATTGATAACGCAAGACTGAGGTACATTAGACTCTGCTTAATTCTTTTGTGACCATATCTAATGTTGAGAAACTAGAAAGGCAAGATGAGTAAGAACATTTAAAGTATTGTAAAATCAAGAAATGATCTGTTAAATCAAGATAAATTCATTTTCTAATGATCCTTTGAGGTGCTATCTTGAGAATTTGAGGAACGGAGAAATCAGAACTGGCAGAGTATTGGTATCGTCTACAATCGACTTCATCCACTGAGAGGACTGTCCAATACTAAAAAACACCTCATCTGGACTTTGTGGTTTTCTGAAACCCACAGTCGTCATCATTTATAAAAAAATGACTTCAATGAGGAAACGCTGAAGAATCGGCCCATATTTACACAAAGGTCAAGGTCACTGTGACCAGGGATTGAAAATTGCTGCAGGGTGCATCGGACCCCAAAATCTAAATGTGTATACACTTATATAAAGATGTACCGGTCAGCCCACAGGTGTGAGTACAGTCAGCCCATGGAGACCAGTCTGACAGCTGGCAGTTGACTGGGCACTCCACCACACAGGAAGCATTCATCTGCCACTTCCTCTCCAGGCCCAACTGCAAGACAATGCCATGAGGTGTCATTAACTCTGTTTCATTTAAAATACATTTTAATCGGGGTGGAAAACAGGAGATGACACACAACTCACCTCTTTGCAGAACTTGAGGTCAACTGATTTACTGTCGCTACGCACACAGTCCAACATGCGGGTTTTGATGCCGTTTCCACACACCGCACTGTCACTCAGCTGACAGGTACTCCAATCTGCAGGGGCAGCGGTGTTTCATCAGCAAAAAGGTCAAAGTTACCCTAAAATTCTGATGTAACATTTCTGCATGCAGTCAGCCTTGCTGTTTGAGTCTCACCGGTGATGTTGTAAGAGTAGTGAAAGCAGTTGCTGTTGAGTTTACAGGGCTCTGTCTCCGTAGTCGGGGGACACTCCTTCTCTTCTCCAGGCTGGCGGAGTGGGAAAGCACTCCTCTCACGGGTACTGTTCCCACTGCACGGCTGAGAAGCAGAGGAATTCATTAATGTCCCTCTATGTGCACAAATGATACACTAATTGCCTTTGTTTAAAATAAAACACTTGTTCAATAAACGGACAATACATGTGCTTAAACACTTTTAAATCAGCAACACTGGCATTTGTAGTAACTGAAGACATTGAATAATTCAGTAATGGAATCATACTAAATCCAGCTGAAGTTATTGAGTCAAATTTCAACTAATTTAAGAATCCGTGGTGATATTCAGCATGGCAGAGTGCCGGGATGACCTTCTCCTCTATCCTACACCAGCTTGCTGACACATTATCTTCCAGGTTCATACTCTCTCTTCCCTCTATTTAGTCAACCTTCTCCAAAGTGCATATTCCTCATGCTCTGCTAGACTGAGTCCCCCGTACTGAGTGAAGTTTCTGAAATAGGGAACAGCGGCACAGGAGGGCTGGTACTGAGCAAAGGGGAGGGAGGGTTAGCACCGACACAGTCTCAAAGGGTGGATTTGTGTAGTTAGTCAAGCTTAAAAGGTCTTTCAGCGCTGTTTCAGACCCTGATGGTGGTAACTTTAAGTACTTAGAAGTGTAATGAATGTAAGGGATTTTATTTTGTCACTACCTGGGCTTTATATAGATATTCTTTATGCCACCATAAAAGAAAGTGGAGACTACATGTGAGCCATATAGTCAAAGCAGAGCCCAAATTAGGATTTAATGAACTCTCTTGTTCTGAACAAGGGTTAAACAAATCACTTGACTGCTTTCTGGTAAGAACTCTTCACCTCATCAATAATTGACAATTGTTAGTATCGATGGCTATCATCCAATGCAAACTCAGTTTAGAATTTCAGGATTGACAGGAGCCGTGTGGCTTCTGCTATGGTGTGGTGTGGAGCAGCAGCTCAGTGAGAGAAATCATGCGCAGTTGAGGTAGAGATGCACCTGATGCAAGCACTGATTCATTTGCCCTTGTCATAGTATTACTGGTCAAGTTGAAATGCACTGTTCATTTAGTTTTACAAGGCCTTACCTAAGTGGAATGTCTGAATTAAGTGTCATGTCCCTGAAGCCTTGCTTTACACTGGAGTAACTACTCTTGAAGCTATCATGGTTTTTGAATTACAATATTTTGCTTAGATTTAAAAATATACTGAGACAGAGCTCAGCTGCAGCTTTCTCAGGATTCATTTAACTGCTGGCCATTACCAACACTCAGTACTTCTTAGCTACCCCGTAACCTGCATGTATGACTTGCATTGATTCCGAGAAATAAAAGGTATAGGAAGTGAGGAGAACCGGATTGCACTCTACTCTCAATCCCTGAATATAAATAACAGGTGACGAAGTAAATAAGACTGTTCATATTCTGCAACTGCGATGAATCTGGTGCAATTCTGTCAATCTCTCTTTTCCTGTCAACTGTCCAATATATGTCAAAATTTAAAAAATGAGAATAAGGAAGAAATACAATCACAGTGACATGGAAACTATTGATCCTTCTGCACACACAGAGCATTATAGAATAATAGGACAGTGGCAGAGGGAAATAATACACCATTCTTACCAGTTCACATGAGCTCCAGGTTCCCCAGTCTGATAAAACGCAATCTTCAGGACAGGGAAGCCGGCTGTTGCGGGCCCCCAGTGGCATCTCCTCTGGGTCACACAGGTAGTCCTCCACTTGCTCAGAGGGTCCGTCTATAGTGTTCAGCATACACCTGGAAACAGATGGGGTTCAACGTAGAGTCAAATCTATATGTACAACACCCAGAGATTTGTGACAGGCACCGCATCATCTACCTACAATAAATCCTAGTGATGAGGCAACACACTCCTTTTGTTAAATATTTAACAATGTTGACGAAACACCAGGAGAAAATACATTAAAACTCATGTTTAAAATGCTATGCGGTCAGCATTGCCAGAAGGGTACCGAGTTCAGACCATCCGATCTGACATGACCATGGTGGATCATATCTCTGGTCATCTAAAGAGTCTAGAGTTCAAACATAAGGACACATAGGCACGTAGCTTTGATTTGAATACACATACAGAGAAAAAACCAGTGGCTGGCTGTGTAAATGTCTTACCTGACTTTCCTGGTCTGAACACCTTCACCACAGTTGTCCTTGACATCCACGTTGCTCACCTTCCACACACTCCAGGGCTCTGCCACCCAGACATACTGCCCACAGTCGCTGAGGCAAGGCACAACCTCATACACCTGACACACACAAACACCACAGTTTACCTGCTGGATCTGTAGTTTAGCAACATGAAATGTGTAAAGTGAATTTCGAATGTGTCCTCAAGCTCAAGCATTGAACTTTTCCCATAACAACTAAAACAAAAGTCATGAAAAACAACAGAGGCAAGTCTCTGAAAAAAATCCAAAATATGTATAATTAAAAATTACCTGAGCCTGTAGATTGAATCCATACATCAAGGCAGAAAAGGGGACAACAGAACATAGGTCATTACAGTTATTATAAATTCAAACAGTTTCATTTATAGAGCATACATTGCATAAAAAACACAGGAACATTTTACATGAAAAAAACATAAGAATACATCATAAATATAATAAATAAATAATAAATAGAAAACATTGCACAGTGAGAGACACACCACACTAATGAACAAACCCATAAGACATGTATGGAGGTCTATAAAAAAGCCTGTTGTCTATAAGAATTAGTTTTTAGGAATCTATTAATTTATCTCCATTTTAAACATGAATGATTCCACAATCTGGAATATGATTCCAGAAGCTTTATGCTAAAACAGCAGTTGTTGCATGGAATGGATAAGAGGCAGACATTTGACGATTGGTGCGGCTGAGAAGTGGAATAAGGAACAAGGAGATTAGAAATGTAACTGCAGAGCATGATATGTACTTAACAGGATCTTATAGTGTATTACAAATTCAAGCCACTGGAGGGAAGCAAGAATGGGGTAGTGTAAGACCAACAGCTAGTTCTAGTAGTGCAAAAGATACATCAGTTTAGATGGAGGAAATAATGAGACATCCAATCTTTGGTGGAAGCTAAGTGAATGAGGATAGAGGTCAGTAGATTTAGCAGAGAAATGGATCTGTGAACTTTTCCGAATAGTGACATCACTTGAAGCATGTACAGAGAATTGGCCCAAGGACCAAACCCTGAGGGACTCCACATTGCAGGGGAGGCGAGGAGCACACTTTAACAAATAAGAATGAAATCATTTTAAAGCTGTACCAGAAATGCCAACCCAGCTATACAACCTATCAAGTAATTTATACGTTGCTTCGCATACATATGAATTCAACAAAAATAAACATTATAAGTTCATTAAGTAACAGGTTAATTATAATCAATGCAACATGTCCATTCCCACAAAAAACAAGCTTTAGAATACATAAAAAAACTTAAATCACACATTTTATCTGAGACTCTTACCTGGCTGACATGGTCTAGTTTAGGACATGGTCTCCCACCATTATAGGGCTTTTCTCTGAGCCACTTGGAGCGAACTTTGACACCACTGCCGCAGGACTTGCTGCAGCGTGACCAGTTGGACCACTCACTTAGTTTGCAGTCAGATGGACATGGGATTATGCAAGCCTCCTCAATATATCCTGTAACCAATTATATATCAAAAGAGCATACATTAAGATCAATGACTATCCACACAAGAGGCTGAACCTGTTTTTCACAATATAACAAGATATTTTCACATCACTACAACAAACTCACATATATTTCATATAATAACAATAATATCAATGGTAAATGGGCTTAATTTATATTGTGATTTTCTAGTCTTTTCAAGGACAGTTCCGCACACTCAGGAGGAACCGAGGAAAGTTCTAATTACATTTACTCTACCTTCTGAGCCACGTCACCACATATCTTGGTATGACATGTCAGTTTCACATCTTGATGTCAGACATGGATATTGGAAAACTTCTGATAAAGATGAAACAAAGATGCATCCATGCACCTACACCAAAATATTTTTCCTGTCACACCTGGAGACCCCAGGGCACACACTGATTCAACTTGGGATTCAAAAGCAATATTGGGGGGGCATAACTGTGGCAAAATATGCCTTGGCTTGTTTCCTTAGTCTGCTTGGACCACAAGAAGTTTTAGAAAATGGAAGTGAACAAGAATGTAGAATGGGCGCCTGCAGGGTATATACAGTAGCTCTGAACAGTTTTTGGAAGAGTTTGAAAAGTAGTTGAGGAAAGAATTTGCTCAAAATCAAAGAAGAACAGCAGAATAATAAGTGTTAATTAAAACTAAAATAGCATTTTTGACAACATCTTGTCTGCTGATGTAACCTGCTATGAGATGATTTTGGGGACTCATTGGTATGAATTACTTTACTAATATAAACTCGTGATCACCAGCTTTGCTGCCTTAATAGAAACCTTCCTTAGGGTTGAAAGCATTTTTCATTAGTCACGGCTGCTGACTCCAGTGCAGTCCTTTCCCTCACACCTATGAACAAACCTAAGATCACTCATCTGCAGCTGTAGCCTGAGGACAAATTATCAGTAGGAAGGTGCAGGAAATTTCAATGTTACTCACGCAATACTCTGGAGTATTAGAAAGTCAATAAACGACTATCAAATCACAGAGACGCCAAGCAGCAGCATCGACTCTGAGTGTCTTGTTACAGTTACAGATAATTAACATCAAGCCGCCCCATACTGGGATGAAAATTTTGACTCCCAATGAGACAGGTTTCTGAATGAACAAAGACAACCACATACCCCAAAGTGCTTTGATGTGCTCTGTGTTTTTCCCAGGTTAAGATGCAAAATATGACAGCACTGTGATTCTTAATTCCCTTTTCTGGGACATACTTTGGAATGTTAATACAGCTCACAGCACAATGGCCTGACAGATTTGGGCTGCTGGTCACAAATATAGCTCCAAGTTGCCCGGATTTACACTTGTGGTTTGATACACTGGTAGCTGACTCTGAAGTGGGTCAAATGTGAACAATCTAGGAGATTGCACCTGTTGTTGATTTTCATTCATCCATAAACTCTTCAGACCAATCACAAACATTTATATAACAGCATGTGAAACTCACCATGGCTGTTGCAGCGTGAGGTCTCCACTATGCGGTTGTCCTGGTCATAACACACCATAGCCTGGTAGCGATATCCTTGGCCACACTCCTTGATGTCACCTTGGACCTTCATCCCGAGTTGACCCTCCATACGGCCATTCTCAGGAAGGATACAGTCTGACCAGTTACCCACAGGCTGGGCATTGTATTTGTTACATGGGCAATACTGTGTCTCACTCAGGGGATACATTTGGTGGTTTTTACACTGGTCCCGCTTTTTGCTCTTCCCTTTAAAAAAAAAAAGCATAGTTTTTGGAACATTATGATTATTCATTGAAGAAATTAATCTTGTGCTATACACTGTCTATATCATGAGACTTCTTTGTTTCTCTTCGTGCAGTTTATTAATTTAATTATATAGATTAACAGTGAGCCTTACTCAAAGGAAAAAAATAAAATTAAAAATCAGGTTTTCACATCTACTGATCCCCCTCTAAAGGTTAATTTGGATAATGTAATCTGGAAGTGGACTTGAAGTTACAGTCTGTCACTTACCCACTAGCAACCTCTTGCGTGTCCTGACACCCACGCAGTCGGCAGTGCAGGAGGAGAACTTTGACCAGATGCTGAGTTGACAGTTTTCCTGGCAGGGCAGCTGGCAGTGCTGGATGAGAGGAGGCATGGAGCTGGCAAACTTAAGACAAGCTTCAACGTCTGCTTGCCCTCCATCCTGCTTCCGACATGAAACAGCTACAGGGAAATGGAGTGATGGAGTTCATGAGGAAGAAGACTTAGTTGTACTCTTTCAGCATTTGGTGCTTTCCTGCTCAACTACTGAGACAATGATGATAAAAAGATTGTTGGGTGGGATACTGTATTATCCATACTAGCACTAAGACATACAATGCTTGAGTATTATCTAACTAGACATCATACCAGCCACGGTATAGATTGGTTATAGAGTATTATTGAGTAATGAGTACTCAGTAGTCAATACTAGGCTAGTCTTCAGTGGTAGTGCGCCACAAAAAAATACAACACAATTTTCAGAGGTGCTGGACTCATCCTTCTTAGTACTCAGCATGCACACAGATCTTGTTTTAACACTATCCCTGCTCTGTAAGAATGTGCTCTCAGCTCAGATGTCTTGAAATTGGCCTTGGTCAAGCTCCCCCAATAGGAAAGTAAGAAACATTGGTGACCAATATTGACTGGGATAATTCCAGAGCATCCCCTAGTCTGTCTATCTTACATCCACAACATAAAGAGCACACCCACAGATACCCACCCATCAATGGGAAATCAAAGGCCACAAAGTGACTATGGTCTTCCACACTCTTAATCGAATGAGTGGGTGAACAGTAAGAGGTTTATATTGAATTGTCTCACCCCAGTTCAGAGTATACAATTACAGGTAATGGTACACAAGCATTCTAAGATGGAGGAGCCGGATGCTCATTATTGGAAACAGATAATGGCCTCTGTCTCTAAGAATATAACAGGAGTCTGAGTGTGGCCACTGATGTCAACTGTTTGACTGAATCGTCACTCAGGCCACATTCAAGAAGGCAAAATTTAAAAAAAACTAAAATTTGTAATGAAATACAATAATGACAATTTCACAAAGATTTCTGCTAGCTTGAAGGTCACTCTGATGTTTTTTGCCTTCTATAAGATTGTAGTAATTGATTTTCTTACCAAAAAAGGATCCTTTGGCTTAACCCTTTAGGATTTTCAACTCAACAAGAAACTACAACTGCTGATTTCAGGGCAGAATTTTAATCAGGGAAATTAACTCCACAGCAATTTGTGCTTGAGAGCTCTGCTGATACAGTTGTGTGTGTGTGTGTGTGTGTTTGTGTTTGCGCCATTCACCTCGAATCTGCAGCCCTGGCCCACATGTCTCCTGAGCTCCAGGACTGTCCTGACGAACTGACCATGGAACTAGCTGGCATCGCCGCCACTTATGAGTTTTCCATCTGAAGAGGAATCAAAGTAATGAAAGGTTCCTAGTTTGAATCTCTCAACTAGAAAAACAACACAACTTAAAGTTTAAAGCCATGCATGCAAAAAATGCTCACAACACTCTATACAGGGAAGCGCTGGATGGCACAAACAATGCACTGATAATACTCTTATTTTTTTAGACTTGTTTGGAAGATGGCTGTATAGAGACCCCCCCACCACTCACTTGGATGTCTCAATTTCTAATACCTTCTGAGACAGATAATACAATAATAACTTCCATTTCACACAGTGAGAATCCAACTCTTTTGATATATGAGTGTAGCAGTGCTGTTTCCTGACTAATGTAGCATACAGACTTCTCTCCATTTTGACCTGGGAACTAGAGAAGAGGCACAGCAATCACCAAATACAACAAGGTTCTTCCAGAGAGAACCATGGATTTACTGATATCAGGGCAATCCACACAATACTGACCAAGCTGGTAGTAGAAAGATTGGAGGAAAAATCCTGTATATAACTTGAGACCCTTTATGTGTTATTCCCTGATGGCTGCAGACCTAGCTGGAAATTATGCAAACCATATTAACATTGTTTTTTATCACAGTTGAAGTCATTTTGGCACCTGATTATGGACACATCTGTAGCTCGTTACATGAGAGATATTGTAACCACCAGTCATTAACAATAACATAAAATGGATATGCGTGTGAAAAAAAGGACCCATTACCGGTAACCATGACAAACAGATGGAGCGTCGCACTCTCTCTCCTGGCTCAGCACCTCTGGACAGTCTTGCCCCCCGTTGGCTGGTAACTGGATGATAATACGTTTCCTATACTGCTTCTTCTTAGTGTTACCACCTAGGAGAGGCAACAGGAAAACACATGTTATACCTTAGTCTTAGTAAGTAGTATCACTGAAATTTGGAAAAATAAGGCACTCGTCATGCGAGTACCAGTGTCAATATGAAGCAGGCTGTCTGCTCGGCAGTTGGTTCCTTCATCAGTTTTCCTCCATGTTGTCTTCCTGCTCCTCCAAATCATTATCTAATTCCTCATCTTGAAAGATCAGATCGAAGGCCTCTTGCACAGTATGTCTAAGGCGGCCATAACCTCAGTCACTGAAATGACAGCTCACATACCTTTATAACCTAATGACCCCCCAACCCCTCTTTTGCTCTCTGTTTTGATCTCAGTTATTTCCAAGTAAATGGATTGTAAGTTTATTTTTAGATTATTTTCTTAGATTGCTTGTGCTTACAGGTGCAGATCTCATGTCTGTGTCAAGGCACCTTCTGACCTCTGCATGACTGTATGATCACTCCTGTGCTGTTTCACTCTTTCACTGTTTGGAGATTCCCCCTTGACCCTTCAAAGGCCAGTGGGTGCCTGTCTCTGAGGGAACCTGGGAAAATGGGGTGGGACAATTCCCGTGACAGTGTCAATGTCCCCTTGAACTCTGTTTTCCTTGATTTTGACCACACTGGTGCCTCTTACAGTAAAATCAATTTTTTAGATATTGGTCAAATTTGAAACAGAACAGCCTCAATGTACAAAAGTGGGCCATTGTAGGAAAAGTCATAAAATGATAGGCTAAATGAATGACATTTAAGGTATTTTCGCTGTTGTCACATGTCAAAACAGGTCACATTTGACCCGAACAGTATGCAAGGGTTAAATCCATTAGTGTGGACTAATGTAGACACACATTTTGTTCTTGTACCAGATCTTAATAAAATAAAGAGATTTAATTTGTGCACTCCTGAGTGTGTCTCATTAAACGTGAGAGTGTTGTAGAACATATGTGATGAAGTGCAGTAGGTCTACATTTTCTGTAATGCACCTGTCTACTCACCCTCTGCAGGAAGTGACCACTTCAAGGGGGAGGGCTAATTCAATCAAGTGGAATATTGAATTTTACCCCCATCATGTACCCTGTGGTATCCAATACACCTCTATGGGTGGTAGAGGTTATGGACTTTACAGGAAGTCTATGTGAAGCCTATCAGGTTTCACTTCTTATACTGCCAGAGTCCTGGTGATTTGTTTTCAGGACTGTAATGATTTACAGAGGGTAGAGCAGCCTTGTCGTATTGGACGGGACTCATGACACAAACTGCATTGATCATGATTGCATGTCCATGGATATGTGTAGGTAAAAAGCAAGTGTATCTCAAGACGAGAGGATGCGTCAACACAAGAGAGGGAAAGAGAAAGATGCATTGATACTGTAAGATGGAGAGTAATAGAGTGAAGACAAGATTTGCTCAGCAGCTTCAGTAAAGATGCTAATATACTGTGTGCATAAAACAAAACTCAAGAGAATGACAGCCACACACACATTGAGGCTGAGTGTTCTGAGCTCTCCTGCTGATTCTGGCTTGATAGTTTGACAAATGGGTTCTAAATTGAATCTACCCTTTTATATAATTCTAACTTTGTGGTCTGCAGCAAAAACAGAATATAAATGGGCTGTCTCAGCCCCATGATGCTTACCATCTAAAATAAACAATTTCAGGGAGGACCCTGATTTAGAATGTCGTTTTATCTTGGAGACACTGCATTTCTCTAGAATCTATTAGACATGACACAACTCAAACAGAATTTGATTCTTTGGTGATCTGTCTCAGTGAGCGCAGTGATTTTATTATCTGTCTGCCTGTGCTGAAATAATGATGAGCACATTCGGTATGCTTCATCATTAAAAAACACAGACGAGCTTTGATGAATCCTCTTGGTGCTGTAGCATTTAGCTTGTTTGACACCATGTGAAGTGTCGCTGTGGGGAGAGAAGCTACCTGCTCGACATGTTGATGGGCAGGGGCTCCAGTCGCTGTACGGGCTCACAATACAGTCTCTCTTGCACGGCAGCAAGCACGGCCTGACGGTGTCTGGGCGCAGACTCTCTGGACACCTGAAAGTACATCATTGACATGCTCAGTCACACACACACACAGAGTACCCTTGAAAATCTGATAGAGACTTGGTGGATCACAGCCAGAAGAAGCATGCTGGGAGTTTGCTAGGAGGCTCCCGGTGCGCCTGGCTTCCCTGCTGGTGCTTTTTTTGAGACTGTGACTGTGTGCATGTGTGTGTTTATGTGCTGCAGCAGTGGCTGAAAGTCCATACATCCCTTCTCAATAGAGCTACATTGATGTTATACTGTATGTTTTTTCCTTGTTCAAGCTCTGTACTGCTGGCTTAGAGCCAAAACTGTCCTCAACACCACATAAGCATGGGTCATTTGTTGAAATACCAAAATACAATGTATATTTTTCCCTCTGGGGTTGGCGAAAAGAAGGGAAGGAGGTGAAGAGAAAAACTGAGGGAGAAAAGTTTGAAAGAAAGATGAATGTTGGAGGGAGAAAGAAGGTGAGGCAAGGAAAACAAAAGACAAACAAATAAAAAAACAAGACAATAATGGAGGTGGTGTAACATTGTTACAGAGTTACAAAACCTTGTAGAGGTCGGGGTGATTCAATGGTTCTCAAAAACAAGTGACCTGGAAGGGTAAAGGAAACTGCTGTTCCCTCCCTGATTCCTGGAAGAAATAGCCATATGTCCCATGGTTGCACTGATAGGGCTGTTAGAAGTGCAGAATGAGATTCCTCTTGGTCTAATGAGGCCACACTAAAGTAACCAGGCTGAATGAACCAAACAGGCTAATGGACCAGAATCCCAACTGAAACCAAAAAGGTCAGGTATAAAAGTTTCCCATTTGTAGTACACTGGTCTAAACCTTGTCCAACTCAGAACCTCATCATTGACTTGTCCTCAGTTTCTGAAATTGATATGTTGACATAATTCTTTTTTTTTTATTTTAAGATCACTTCTTTTAACCAGTGGTGATTCATCTAACTGCAGTGAAAAGTTTAACCTTTTTATATAGAAATATTGGCACATTGTCTTTTTGTAGAGCCCCAAATTTAGCAATATTAAATAACAACAATATTTTACATTCGATATTTGGTCCTCAGACCTAGTGTATCCCACGTGTTACAGTTTCTCTCTCATGCTAATTAAATGCTCTAATGCCTGATGTGAAAGTGTGTCCCTGGTCAGCAGGCTCACTGCTCAGCATGACACTGTACGTGTAGGAGTAAGCGCAGGAATAAAAAATCATTTCCATACACAGCATGGGGGCTGGGGGGATTTGCCTGCATAGGGCCACGTGCTGCCAGAATAATGTTGACGTTCTGTTGAATAAATAAATAGATAATACTGCTTCCCAGCAGATGCCTTGGGGAGGGGGAAACAGACCCATATGCTTAAAATGGTTGGTCAGCAGCTCATCAGCTTACACCTCTGCAGACACCAGCAACCGCATACTAACCAGGAAATGATTTAGGTGAAAAGGATGTATTGGCAGAAATCATGTTTTCACTAGTGTGTTTCATCTGAATTGTATGAATTGTTGTTTTCTTTACCCTATAATGAGCCCTTTATATTTAAATACTTTATATTTACATCAGGAGCTGGTCCTCTCTATGGAGTCCGCCATGTTTTTACAGACAACTGAAGGTTTGGAAGGGGAGGGTGAGGTGAGGGGTATTCAGCTGCAACGTGCAACTTCACCACTAGATTTCAAAAAATAGAACCGCTGAACCTTTAAGTTGATGCATTGTGACATCAAGACTCTAAAAAACCAGTCAACTGTCTTTCCAACAGATAAAACTAACCCAACACCTGAACTGTTGGAAATGTATTCAGTTGTGATCTACATTTCATTATTCTTGGAACTTGCCGAACCTCATTCCGCATCACACAGGGGATCATACCCACCCATTAAATGGAAATGTTGCAATAACAGGTATTCATGGGATGGAGCTGGAATGAAAGAGGCACCATTCACAAGTCAGTGTAGCATCAAAATCAATCTGTGGCTGCTACTTTAAGATGAATAGTTTCATAATGTTGTTTTATAGAACCATACATTTTCAAAATCTGTTATATTATGAAACTTGGAGATGAAAATCCTTGCCTCAAATGTTCCAAATATCAACTGAATATGATAAAAAATTACCTAACCCTAAAATAACAATCATTTCTGTATGATAGAAAAAAGGATCCTATGAAACAACAAGTTATCTCTTTCCCTGCTCTACTAGATAGAATATGGCTCTCAGATATACCAGATAGATTTTACAGACCTTAAGAAACTGGGTTGAGGGAGGAATCATAAAAGGCAGAGCAAGCTTAAGTGGACAACTTATGACATGTTAAATACCCGGCTCTCATTTGAAACCAGTGTAGTGTCCTGTTTTACAAAGCAGAAAAGATCCAATTCATACCTGAGGTCCATGTATAGATGGATGTATAGATATAAGACTTAAGGGGACTCTTACTTTTTGGGAGGAACCTGGCCCACGTTGACCCGGACACAGATGATCTTGCGGGTTTGCATCCCAACTGAGCAGGAGGCGTCATCGCCGTGTGTCCTGCTCACAGATGTGTTGGTGGCCGGAATGGAGGAGTCCTCTATGCACTGCCCCCAAGGGTATGTTTGCCAGTGGTACACAGTGCAGGGGTGGTCATTGCAGTTCCTCACCTCCTGCAGTGCACTGATGTTGGGACAGAGGATCCCACCTGAGGAACAGTGAAACAGTGTCAGTATTGCAGCTGTGCTTCAGACAAAATCTAATTAACACTGACACAGGAAGTTGGAAAACGTGTTGGAAGATGAGACATAAGGTTTGGGCACAATTCTAAAAAACTTGAAACTTCATCAACTCGTTATGTCTTGGTTGGCTAGCTAGAACTTGGTCAGGGCGAGCAGGAATCATAAGGTAAGGACATTTTCAGAACTGAAAAGTTCTCTGACTCACTCTCTGAAATCTCATGCACTCAACACAACCATGCCCCTCTCATCAGCTGACGGAGTATGAGGGAATTAACCTAATTGATGCCTATAAAGCCGGGAAGTCTATACAAAGATATCAATGTGCTTCCAAAACGTCCTCCTTCTGAAATGTTAATAACAGAATCATTACAACTTGGAATACACAGAGGAGCTGCAGGAAGGTTGATCTGAAAAAGGAGTGGTGGTTCATCATTCCACTGTGCAGCCTTGTTGTGCAAAAAGGACCTGAGGGACCACCAAACCAGCCAACTCGTCACAAAAGACACTGTCTGCAGTGACTACAGGATAAGCCTGAGTCATTTTGGAAACAGGCCAGTCACCAAAGGTGTGTTTGGAGGGGAAAAAGGACAAGCAACTGCCAACTTGCCAACTGTAAGGCACTGATGTGGGTATATTCTGCTTTGGCATTGTGTGTAAGCCAGTGGCACAGGAAACATCACACAGACAGAGGAAGTCATGAATTCCCCTCAGCCGAGTCTGGATATAAATGTCCTGCGACGATATGATAGTGAAATGTGCTGTGTGAGAGCATCTAAAGAATATCTAGGAATAAAAGTGATCTGAAACATTTTCAACAATTACAATTTTGTTCTAGTGAGTCACAGAATTGGCTTGCAGTAAGGTGTTGGCTATCACTTGCTTTGTGAGTCTTTTTGCAAAGCTATAGATTAACAATCACCCTGGATTTGCCTATGACTTGTATGAAAACAAACATGGCTGAAGCAGCTTGAGGGATAAGCTCGACTGTCTCTGGTGGCTGGGCCAGCCGCAAGGATTGACAACATTGAGATGACCCAGGGTCAGAGTGTCTGTACAGAGCCAGGGGCCTGGACGTGGACCCAGGTGGGGTTTGCACACCATGTGACTCACTTCATCACGAATCCTTGTCATCAGCATCCGCCATCACCTTGGGGAAAAGACAACCCCCTAAGAGAAGGTCAACCATTAGCGCCTCAGAGTCATAGAATGACATCTTCCCGCAAGAGATGGAGCATTGAATTGGACATGAGAATCGGCTCAAATAAAGGAAACGTCTGACCTCTGTGTAACAGCTCAGAGGTGATGTCCTAGACGGTAATTTATAAGAGATATCATTGGATTTCATCATCGTGGGCAGTCATCTATCAGGTGTGGAGCTCATTAACACATGGAAGGACACACCATTATTGCTGCTCAGGCTAATTAAACTGTTAACTGATAAATATTTAAGTGCTACCAATTAAACCCAACATGTTTTTGAAAAATGAGCAGCTCAAATGGGTGAAATTTATCCAGGTCACGAGAAACTGTTCATCAGCAGTCGACTTCACCTCATCATTGTCTTCACATTTCACATTTCACACGACTGAGTGGTTAACAAAGTGATTTCAGGTAATAAACCTCTGTGCCATTTGTAATGTTTTTCTTGACCTGACTTATCTCATACCATCACCTGAACACACTACATTGATATTTGTGTTAGTGTGAGTGTGTCCATGTGACTATGCAGCTAATGGTTCCCTGAAGACTATGTGCGAAACATGATCACACTCATGTCAAACAAATTGCTGACATTTGGATAAAAATACTTACAATATTCATACAATATGTAACCTTTCTGCATTTAGATGTCTAAAAACAACTAAACATATGTTATACACATATTTGAGTTGTATAGTTACATCATTGATATTGCTTTTCAAATGTTTTTAAATCTCAAATATATAGATATGTGTT